ATGTGTATTTGCCTTGAAGTGGTAGTGAAATTTATGCATACATCTCAACAAAGACTGTAATTAAGGTAGAAAAATAAGTAGTTTGTCAGTAATTTGCTTTAGCTTCTATTTGATTAATGAATATAATTTTACAACATTGTAGTATTGATTTTCCAACAAAAAAGTATATTTTTTATTTTATATATTTTTCAGTGGAACCAAGCAGATGGGCTTAATCTAGCATTTAGATGATGTAATACAGGTCTAACAACAATCTCATCAGCTGAAGGACAATTCACAAAGACATAGCTGGGATTTTAATGGGAGAGAATTCTATTACCGTTCTTCCTCCCCATTCTAATGCTGGGATGGCATTGCCATTACCTTCAGACTCTCCTAGCGTCCTGTTAATTCTAGAAGTCTATCCTTAACCACATTTCTTTTGTGTTCACTGGATAATGGGACTTTTATGGATTCCTTGGCAGGCATCTTCTGAAGCAAGTTCACCTTATTGTGTTCCTATGCAAGACAGTGTTTGAGCTTCATTAGTGAAAATCCTCCACTTTCTTAGTCTTGGGATTTGGATCTTATTTTCATGTCCTGCTCAACAGGAGTCACAGAAATATCTTGCTTAAAGATCCTTGATAAAACCTGAATTTTCAACGTGAACACCTGATAAAAATGAATGCCTGGATCAAAGCAAACTATAGTCACCAGCAAAAAAACAGCTCAGAGTGTGGATCTCACAGAGATCGGCAATTTTTGCCTATCAAGAAAATCCACTAATCACAATATTCCTAAATTTGTACCATAGACATCAAACAAATCATAAATAAACTGTTCTAGATGAATCTTGCTGTGAATGGAAGGGGAGAGGGAGTGGGAAAGGGGAGGGTTGTGGGTGGGAGGGACGTTATTGGGGGGGGAAGCCATTGTAATCCATAAGCTGTACTTTGGAAATTTATATTCATTAAATAAAAGTTTGAAAGCAAAAAAAAAAAAAAAAAGAAAAAAAGAAAAAATAGTATCTTTCAAAAAAAAAAAGAAAATATCTAAATTAGTTTTCAAGTGAAGCTTAAGCTTTCTATTTAAATTCTATATTATCTCTATATCTATGAAGGTATCCCAAAAATTCTGTGGAAAAATGGAACTAAAAGACAAAGTTTATTTTGGTGCAAAAATTTTTGAAATCCATGGATTGCTTTTTGTAATATGTGTTTTCCATGAACTGTTTGAAGAGCCTTTGTATGCATATATTTAAAACCTTTTTTGTACCAAAATAAATTTTCTCTGAATTCCATTTACCATGAACTGTTCTTGTACCATTATAAAAGTACATTATCCCAATGTGATTCAATCTCCATCTTTATTTCAGTGATTTCATTAGATTGACATTTGTATTTCTATCTTCTGCATGGTGTTTGGTTTAATGGAACCACAGTGTCAGTATTTTCTTCTGTTTTATAAAGTTTTAGATATTCTTTGGCAATTCAGCTTGTAATATTTTTTCATAGTTTTTGTCTAAATATATCTTAAAGTAGTTGCTTTCCAACTTATTTTTGGCCAGAGTGTCAACCACTCTTTTTCCTGCATTTTGGAGTTATTAAAAGTCTCCAACATTCAACAAAGGTATCTCCAAATGTCAAAGATTTTAATTTAGTGATTTTCCTACATTATTTAATAAGACAGGCTGGTGATAATATTTTCACTTTCCATATGGGGAAATAAGTATTAATTGCTGTTGTACTACAGAACCTTCCAGTGTTAGCTGGAGCCACAGCAAGAGATGATGGTTCTGGATCCCTGTTGCTGCTTCACTGTAGCAGTTCAGAAATGACAGCCACCGCTTCTGAGCATTGCCATCTAATTTAAGCAATGTGAGTCTCTTTGGTGGTGGAAGGAATGACTTGTTGACAGTATATCATTTTTGTATTATACTTTGGAGAGTAATTATAGGTTGCTATATACATTTAGAAATTGGTTTATGTGGTTTTAAAAAGAAGAAGTAATCAAGACCATGCAAAATCATGTTTTTAAAATTCAGAATCAATAAAAACAAAAAATAATGTGACACTTAGGACCTTTCCTAGGGCTCAGTGCACTGAACATGTAAAATGTATTAAAATGTGGAAACCGTATACCTTTCATTGCATTATTCTACAGCTGTCATTTATTTCATTTAGATATAAAAGTAATTGTTATTCTGAGCCTAACAGTAAACATTTCCTTTACCTGGCACCAGCACTCCAATTACATTCTACTTCAATTCAGATTAATCATGCCAAGATGGCAATTCCATTATACTGATAGTAAAATTTAATAGTCTAGTATTAAGCTAGAGTTTTCGATGGCTGAAACAATGTGTTTAACTGCTTTAGGGATTTTATTAAGATTAAAGTTAAACGTAAAGCATCTTAATCAGACCTTTAGGGGAAAACACTCATTACAAAATATGGCTGACTGTGGTCTATAGAATGCTTCTGCAGGAGCACTAAATTCCACTTATTTGAGAAGGATGTAATAGCAGGAAAGATGTTTAATTACAGACGTAAAATGTTTTTTATTTTCCACTTTGTTATATTATTTAACATCACTATTAATTCCAATATTATAGATAGGATTGTGCTTTACACTAGGCAAGCAGAAAGTTCATTTAGGTTAAAAAAATGCACATCTGGTTTTAAGCATTTAACTCAGGAATACACATAAGGAGTAACCAGCTCCAATTACATGGCATCTTTCTGTGTTTTAAATAGGACCTTAGTGGATTAAGGAGTTAATGCCCCTCTAAAATGAACTGTTTACTTCCTCTTCAGCAACAAGATTTGTCAAACTAGGTACTGGCAGGAGAGAAACAAAAAAGTTTCATATTCATATATTCACTCAATGGTTGCATTACGATCTTTAACCTTTGTCTTTCCTCCAAAATTCTGGGCGGCTAGCTGCTTTTTCTCAAAAATTTTTTTTTTAAAAAAAGTAGTTGTAGAAATTTTACAGTACAGAAATCATGTAAGCTTTGTTTAATTGTCCTTTTAATTAAAAATGCTAATATATGCCCTGTTTTTCTATGAAGTCAAATGACTTCACGCTATTCTTTACAAATATTCTATACAAATATGACTTTTTGTTATATAAAATACAAATCAGTACTTTGAGTTACTTTTGTAAACTCTAACTTATTATACATTTATTTGACATGAAGAGGGAGAGATAGAGAAAGCTCACATTCCCTAGTTCACTCCTCAAGTGCCTAAAATGGCCAGCAATGAGCTGGGCTGAAGCCAGGAGCCAGGCACTCAATCCAGGTCTCCCACGTGGGTGGCAGGAACCAATCACTTGAGCCATTACTTCTGCCTTCTAGGGTCTGCACTGGTAGGAAGCATGATTCAGGAGCTGGATTGAACCCAGGTACACCATTATGGGATGTAGGCACCTTTTCTGTCTTTTTAAAGATTTATTTATTTGAAAGTGTTAGAGAGTGAAGGAGAGACAGAGAGAGACAGTGATTTCCATACACTGCTCACTCCCCAGATGGCTTCAACGGCCAGAGCTGGGCTGGGCCAGGCCAAATCTAGGAGCCAGGAGATTCTTCCAGGTCTCCTACATGGGTGGCAGGGGCCCAAACACTTGGGCCATCTTCCGTTGCTTTTTCTAGGCCACTAGTAGGGAGTTGGATCAGAAGTAGAGCAGCCGGACATGAACTGGCACATATATGGGATGCCAGCCTGTACCTGTTAGGTCTCAACACCAGCCCTGGGATGCAGTTATCTTAACAGACATCTTAACCACTAGGCCAAATGCCCACCCAGTTTTTTGTACTGTATTTCTTTTCAAATTTCTTTCTGTGTTGAGTGAGATTCAGGAACACAAATCATAATCTGACAAATAACATAAAATTTCGATTCAAACAGGATGGATTTGAGAAAATTCTAAATTGCGTTTGAGTAGATAGATTACAATATTCATTTATATCTGTAGTAAAATTTGAACTGTAGATTTAATTTGGAAACAAGTCCATATTCTGCGTGTTCTACAGACACAGCAGCTCTTTACATTCCATATGTCTACATGGAAGGTAGGTAACATGTCTCATGGATCAGTGAATAGTACAGACCCTAGCACTGATATCTGATTTAATGAAGAAACTCTTCAACCTGAGAACTTACTTTGGTCATAGATTAAGTTTGTTAATAAACAGTATTCTGTTATTTGTAAAAAGGATGCCACAAATGTGCCTATCCGTGTCTCTATTGGAATCAACACATTCATCGATCAACCAATCAATTGACTTTTGCTTCTTTCCCTGTTTCCCTGTGGGAAGTGTCTGGTGGATCTGTGCCCAGTGGTCTTTCACATTTCATGGCCTCAATCAAACAGAACAACTCCGGAGCTCTGAGCAAGTGAGGCAAAAACCTGGGTCTCTTTCTGACATCGACCAACAAGAAAGGGAAACGAAAGCCTACGAATTTCATTTGCACTTACATATTTTACTAATTAATTTTTGTAATGGATTAGGAAGGTGCTTCAAAAGTTCAAGGAAAATGGAATTAAAAGATACATTTATTTTGGTGCCAAGAAAATTTTGGAATCCATGCATTGTTTTTTTTATAAAATGTGTTTTCTATGAACTTTTTGAAGACTTCTTGTATATTTCAAGTTAAAGAAAAAGGACCGTTGAATGCTGCCCAGACTTTCACATCAAATCTGTATTATATCATAGGATACAGAGCAGGCCTTCTCACTTTTGGTCCCTTGCTAAGCAAAGAGAAAAGATGTCAGATTAAGACTAGGGTAAACAGTTCCCACTTCAGGTAAAACTGTAAAGCGTTTAGTGTCCAAGCGTCAATTTTGAAAAACACCTTGAAACTGATAAGTCTCCAGTTAGAGTGGAAAGTTCTCATTCACCCTTGGTAGGATGATTGTGTTTAGTTCAGAACCCATGGAAGCCACAGCCAGTGAGGCGCTGCTTTCTTTAACCAATCAGCTTCAAGGGTGGAACAATTTGTGCTGTGAAAACTTACGAGGGCTCCTCTGACACAGCGGCTCCTTCCTCCAGCTCTTGAGCTTGTTTGTACCACGGCAGCTTGGCCTCAACTGGAAGTTTCTCTGAGAATTAAGTGCATGCACATAAAAAAGAGGCGGTTAGAACCAATCTGAGATCTCAGGAAACTCCTCTTTCACCTCACCAGTTCTTAGTTTACACCGTACCTAGAAGTTACAATGCTAATAACTGCGAATAATAGGTTTTTACGTAAACTGCTGCCTCCGATGATGATGATTATATTAAGAAAAAGAGTTGAGTTTTTAAACTGCTTCATAACACTAGTCTCTGTATAAATGCTTCCTCTTTATTATGTTGTAGAGCAAAGGAGAGTTCATTTTATGGAAATCACAATTCCAGGATCAGGAGCTCAACATGCATGTGAAAAATCATCAAAGTATCTTTTCACTATTTCCTGTTGAATGGATGAAGCAAAAGTTACCCTTTAAAACAAACACAAAGCACACTGAATCATATCGTGATAGTTTCATCCATTCTAAAGGTTTTTTTTTTTTTTTTTTTTGGTTCTTTTTGCTAGGCGTGATATATGTCACATTGTCTAACTATTACTCTCAGAGATTCAGATATCTTTAGATATCTGACTCACTCAGCACCATGCCAAGGCTAACTGACAACGGGAATATGTGCAATTTAGGGTCCATAACCCATAATTTGACCAGTTTCACCTATTTATCTAGCTTTGACCAAACAATTCAGAACAAGCTTTCTAAGTGCTTCCTGGGGGAAAAATTGTGGAGAAGAAGAAAAAGGGAGGTTTTAACAGCTCCTACAGAAGTAAGTGCCAAGATTCCCATTCTGACATATTTATTAGGGTCATTTATAGGCATATTTGCCTTTATAGCATGAGCCAGTGAAGCTCTATCACCGTTTTATAACGCATAATTGCAAAGATGAAAGAAATATGTCTATATATGCACACACCATGGAATTATATGGTATTTTAATGATGTTTGGAGAGCCTGGCTCTCTCCTTAGTTGTGAAAAACCAGATTTCATTCTTGACTGTTAACTACAAACTGCTTTTTTGTCTCTGAAGTGGCTTGGTAAAGACAGGGCCAAGAAGTAATTGGCTATTTTACGTTGGAGGCATCACTTCTTGTCCTCTGTGTGCAGCAATTGTTTACAGTCAGAAAATGAAGCACGTAAGAAATGTAAAACTGTCAAAGCCAATAAGATTTGCTAACATTTTAGACACTGCAGCATGATACTTACACATAATAGCATTTTACAACTACCCCATCTATCCCAAGCAAATGAATCAGTCAATAAAATCATCTCTGAGAGTGAGAGCTACTCAGCCTTTCAATGCAAATTATTCAGTTTGGCACAAATAGTGGGCTTGTAATACTCTAACCATTGGTTTGAACTGAGCCTGTCAAATGTACCTGTGGCCACCCCTCTACGTTAGAGGACACTAACATCAAGAGTTAAAGGTGACTTTTGTGGAGAGCTTACTATATGCCAGGCACTAGGCTAAGCACCTGATTTACATTCTATCTCATTTAACCCTCACATGGTCTCTGAGATCATGGATTCTGAGGCAGACATTATTATTATCTCAGTTTTACAGATTAAGATACAGTTGTAGAGATATGATTATAAAAATTAATCATAACTTTTCATACACAGATTTTTGGTTTCTGCTATACCATTAATTATATTTCATGATGCCACTCATTTCCACCCAGGACAACCTATAGCACACTAAAGAGTTACATTATGACTGATTGTCAGAGCAACTTAATGTTTTAAAGAAATATATTAATAAAGACATTTAATATTTAATATTAAATTTAATATAGAAACTGGAGGAGGCTTACAACAAAGAATGCTTTCCTTCTGAAAGGTTTATGACTTATGAATTTTCTATTTCATTGACACAGACTAGTAATAATACCAATACAGAAATCAGGTTAGTATTCATGCCAATCTGAGAGACCCACTATAAGTATCAAAAATCATGATCAGTAAGTAGCAGTTTTCTAATTTTTAAAGAAGATTGATTTCTAATACTTATTACATTCTAATATATTTCAAGTTTTCATTTCAAGTCACGGTTCTGGAACTGAGGCTCATGTCAGTGTTTTAATTTTCAAAATAAAAAGCAACAGTTTTCTGTTTCATCAATTTGAAGCATGTGGCTTCCCAATGTGTTTCAGTCTTAACAAAGCAGACAGACTTAGATTTACTGCCTTGTTTTTAATAGCAAGAAGTATTTACAGTAATATACAGTCTCTCTCTAAGCAGATGTTTTTTAGTAATAGTCTTCAAACATTGTTGTGACCTAAGAGATAATTATTATATAGATTTTATATATAAATTTCTATACTTAAAATTTGCAAATCATTTGGAAGTTTTATAAAAGAATCAAGTCTACTTAGCAGAGTTTGTTATAAAGAATCCTTACCAAAAATACTTGGTTTACTTAAAAATATTTCAAGAAATTAAAAACAGCATCAAAATACACATAAGAAGTCAGAGTGGTAGCAGAGCACCTATCAAGTTACCTTTGGGTTTATAGCAGGGAGTGGGTATGATGCATTCCTCTTTTATGTGGGGCTTCGTTTTTGGGCTACAGCCTCCTGTGTGCATCCCTCGATGGTCAATGCAGAGGACCACACGGTACCTGAGGCCCTGACCACATGTCACCGTGCACTGGAAAGACATTGCAAGAAAAAGGAGACTCATAGACAAAGCCTTGCTTACTCTTTACTTTCCATCTGCAAGCATTCATATAAGGGTTCCTTTTCAAATGAGGACTCCTGGTGGATTTGTACCACTTCTTACCAGTCATGGGGTATTTGTTTTGTTGGGCTATTTGAGGTGAAGCTGGCTGAAAATTCAATAATTTTCAATTTATTAGCTTTGGATTCAGCAATCCCGAAGCATCCACTTCATGCAAAGTCTCAAACCAGGCACCAAGAAAAGAAACTGTAGAGTGTGCTCAATTTTAATGAAAAATATGGCATTTTAATTTAGTTTCTTTGCTAGTGACTATAATTAAAAATATGGGAAATGCTAGTGTCCATGTAGGCATTCAATAATTATGAACTGCCATCATAGCAAGTTATACTGTGGCATGGGTAATTGCATTGTGGCAATTGATTGTACTGAATGGAAAACAAATTTATAGGAGCTCATTCGATGCCCAGATAAAGACAGCACCTCCAAGGATATTACTTGTCTGATAGCATGTCTAGATACAGAAAAGCAACACAGGTCAGATGTACTTCCTCAAGCCCCAAGGCTCAGGGGAAAGTCTTTAGTCATTTCCATGGATGGAGGCACAGTGCTTTACTTCCACATCTTTCTAGCTCCTTTGCCATTTCCCCTTTTGCATTAGCAACCAGGAAACCCAGAAAAATATTTAATGTTTAATTACAGCAGGTTCCCTAATGTCTATAATTTGTTGGTTTTAACTACCCTATTTTATCCCCATTTAAATTATGCCTTTTCATTTCACCCCAATGAATAACACATTTAGTTATCATTTTCATCCATTGAGACCCTTTTTGGATACAGAGTATAATAGGTAGAAAATGAAGTAAAATGTTCGGGCTACAGAGCTCCATCACTGAACCTGCTTTCATAGATGCAGGGTCGGCTTCAATTACTCTTGAAAGCCATTTGCTTCCCCAGGGCCATTTAAGGGAGCACTATTCAGGGGAGCAATAGAGGCTTCTTGAAACAATCATGAGAAAGACAATTAGAAAAAAAATCATTGACTTTTGGCCAGAAACAGGCGTCCCTACTCCAGGAGCTAAGCTGGTGGGCTTCCAGACACCTCAAGAGCAGAAGTGTGGTGCTACCCTGGGTACCGGGTGGGGCCGTGACCATGAGAGGGAAGAGCGGACTTACTCTCCTAATGAACAAAAGAAAGAAGGCACAGTTACCGGAGACCACTCCTGTGCCAGCCATTTAGGGCAGTCAAAAATGTTGCAGGGCTGCACGATGGGCATCTTAGGGGTGTACATGCATTTCCACTCTTCCACTGAAGTGACATGCCCCTGGATGTCCTCCTCCACACAGGAAACTGCCCGGCTCTGGATGCCCCCCCCACAAGAGGAGGAGCACGCGGTCCACGGGGTGGCCTCCCACCTACAGAAGCAAGGGGAGTCATCAGGGCAGACATGCACATGGCCACACCTCCTCAGTGACCTGCCAGCCCAACCCCAGTCCCCGTGCCTACCGGGAATATCAGGTTCTGAGAGGCCATGGTTCAAAGAACCGAAAGCCATCTAGTGCCTGAAATCTGAGGAGCAAGAGAAGGATTCCACACTGGCAAAACACTTTGGAAACCATGAAGTTGTACAGAGATGAGTTAAGAAATGAGTTTTGAGGGCTGGTCACAGGAAGTCTGTGCTGTCACCTACACAAAAGATGGCACTTCAGTCCTCAGTCCTCCTTCCTAGAATTTCCAGATATGGTCATATCAAGACTCAAGCTGGACTATCAGTTCATGTGAATAGTTTTACCTGGGCGAGTATTTTCAATGTAATACTTCATTACTTTATTTTAGGGTATCTTTTACAGGAGAAGTTCATGAGAAATCAAGGCAAACAAACGACCTGCTCGCTTGCTTTTGAAACTGTCAGCTTTGAGACTACACACTTATAGATTCAACACAATTCTGATGTTCAAACTGTGCCATCCCTCAGTGGAGCTGCATTAATCCAGGTGCCACCTACTTCTCTGTTTCCCAGTTACACTGAGGGATACTGGCAGTTGCAACTTCTCCAGTAAAGAACTCCTGGAATTGGGAGGAGGTTCTGTTTTGTTTGTATTTTCTCCCATCACCTTATTTCACTTCTTGATAATTATTTTTAATTGTACATATTTATAGGGTATGGTGTGATAATTTGACACATGTATTCCAAGTGTAATGACTGAATTAGATTAGCTAACATTTTCACTTCCTTAAGCATTAAAATATTTTAAAATTAACAATTGTAAACATTTATGAGGTACAGTGGAATAGTTCGATAAATGTATACAGTGTATGCTGATCAAATCAAATCTGCTTGCCATTACTTTATTTTTAGAGACTTGGAACTCCTGTCTTCTTTATATGGTTTCTATACATGGTTATTTTGAGCCATAGTCACCCCACTGTGGGATGTTTGGTTTTGATTGAAAGGCCTATGATATCTGGGGCCGGCGCCGCGGCTCACTAGGCTAATCCTCCGCCTAGCGGCGCCGGCACACCGGGTTCTAGTCCCGGTCGGGGCGCCAGATTCTGTCCCAGTTGCCCCTCTTCCAGGCCAGCCCTCTGCTGTGGCCAGGGAGTGCAGTGGAAGATGGCCCAGGTGCTTGGGCCCTGCACCCCATGGGGGACCCGGAAAAAACCCCTGGCTCCTGGCTCCTCCCATCGGATCAGCGCGGTGCGCTGGCCCCAGCGCCCTGGCCGCGGCGGCCATTGGAGGGGGAACCAATGGCAAAGGAAAACCTTTTTTTTTTTTTTTTTTTCTCCCTGTCCCCTCTGCCTGTCAAAAAAAAAAAAAAAAAAAAAAAAAAAAAAAAAGAAAGGCCTATGATATCTGAGTTTAGGTATATAGTAAAGTAAGCTAGAAAATAATATTTTCAAAAAGAGAATTTTTTTTTTTTTTTTTCTCCCTGTCCCCTCTGCCTGTCAAAAAAAAAAAAAAAAAAAAAAAAAAAAAAAAAGAAAGGCCTATGATATCTGAGTTTAGGTATATAGTAAAGTAAGCTAGAAAATAATATTTTCAAAAAGAGAATATCTTTGATTTTTTTTTCTCCAGAGTGGTATACAGCTCTGAAGTCCCTGGGACCAGATGCTGAGAGAGATCTTTGCCTAGTTCTTCTCTTCTTCTAGATCTAGACAAGGTGGAATTTCTAAAGCCAGAAACATCGGTTCTGAATGAGCTGAGCTTGACCTTCTTACATGGATTCTGTTGTTGATGATGGCTGCTAAGGGGCTTTAAGATTTCTCTTAAAATTATGAGAGACATTTTTAATGAAAGAGAAAATATCACTGAGTTGATTTACCTGAAGAGTTAACTTTTAAAACATTGTACAGGCATACCATGGAGACTTTAGTTATTTTATAAATAGAATTTCATGTACATTGTGAGCTTGATTTCTCTTCCGTGTAAGCCAGAATCATGGGTGTTTTCCCAGTTACACTGAGTTTTTCTCCACATTTTCTCAGCACTGCTCTACATTAGGCAACAACTGTTATCTCCACTGCGGATAGCTGAAACATGCTGCCAAAGACAACATTTTCCTGTGCATTTCCCCCAGGAGACACAACCGTAAAAGGTCAATGTGGAGAAACTGAGGCTCTCAGTCCAGCCTTATGAGACTTTCTCATCCTTTCAAGAGGGTGAAGTAGCTCTATACAGAGTTTCTCTTCCAAAAAGTTGAGATCAATTCTCACTGGTCTCCATGGAAATCTCTGGAATGATTTCTTCTGAAGGTGGGTTTCAGGCCTGATACAGACTAAAATGGGACTGAATTTATTAAGTACTTATTGACATTGGATTTCACCTGACAGTCAAGTAGAAACATGTTTTTGAATGCACATTTAACCTCTTTGAATATGAACACACCATAAAAGAGCACATTTTCTAATTGGTATTCAAACATTCCCAAACTTGAACCCTCTAGAGGGAGAGTAATTAATATTTGTCTCAACACCTGGGTATGACCATAGTGTAATTTTACAGACAGTACTAAGTGTCCTTTTCAATGTCAGTGATCATAGAGAGAAAAATGAGGCTAATGTTGTTCTAAGAGCTTATAGCATGCTTTCACCATATTAAAGTTTTATATGTAAAAAAATTATCTTGTGAATCCTCATAATAATAGGCTTATGTGTAATTTTAAAGCAAACATGCCTGGGTGTTTTAAAATATAGAAAAAGCTAAGTGAGTATCAGGAGATCTTAAAACAATGATCATTAGATAAATGCTGGAATCAGAAAAAAAGACATATGCAAGAATTTTGCCCAGGAAAACCATTAAAATGAATTTTAAATTATATATTTTAACTCCTTTGGTTTAAGAAATTCTCAAAATTAAGAAAGATGTAGAAAAGTGGCATGTATTAATTAGGAATAAAGATAATTCACCATATGGCATTCTTATGTTCAGATATATGTTACAGTCAAAGACTAAAAGGAGGAAAGAACAATCTAGAAATGCATGAATCGTGTTTTAATCTGTATGCATGGTCTTAAATCTGTTCAAATAATTCAATGAGTAAAGCCTCTCCCTTGATCAGTGTGTAGCTGCTTTTTGAGAACCCCTATTGAGTCTAATTCTTATGAAATGAAGACCCCATTTGTAGAAACAGCTTCTACTAATGAGGACCTTCTTAGTGAAACACAATGTCCAACTTCAGTACTAGTTCAGTAACAGAAGTGCAAGGAGCAAGAAATGCAGCCAGTGTTTGTGAATTTTCCTTTCCCATTGATGCACAGACATGCCAAATATGTACACAACAACATGATGACATATTGCAAACATATAGCACAGAGGATTATTTCAATACCCTATTGGGGGCTGGCGCTGTGGCGCAGTGGATTAAAGCCCTGGCCTGAAGCACTAGCATCCCATATGGGCTCTGGTTCTAGTCCTGGCTGCTCCTCTTCCAGTCCAGCTCTCTGCAATGGCCTGGGAAAGCAGTAGACTATTGCCTAAGTCCTTGGGTCCCTGTAACATATGAGAGACCCGGAGGAAGCTCCTGGCTCCTGGCTTCGGATAGGCTCAGCTCCTGCTGCTGCGGCCATTTGGGGAGTGAACCAGCAGATAGAAGACCTCTCTCTCTCTCTTCGTCTTTACCTCTCTCTGTAACTCTGTCTTTCAAATAAATAAAAATAAATCTTTTTAAAAAATACCCTATTGGACATGAGTCTTGTGGGGGAAATTACAATCTATAAAAAAATCAGGTTTAATCTAGGGTAGGCATTAGTTATGCCAGAGAAATAAAAACAAGAAAGCTTATGGCTATGACCAAATCTAGGAGCTGCTAGTACAGGAAAAGCATAAAGTTGATGTTGCTCACTCTGCTCCCAGCCTTGCCCTTATCTTGAAATGGATAGCCTTCCCCCAAACAGATGTTCATGTGCCACAAATAGATATTTTACAGACATTGAAATCAAATGAAATCTTGGTACAGTTAAAGTAATCGTTTGTGTTATCTCTCAAATTTTTCAAGATTCTTGTATCAAGACAGCAAAATGATATAGCGGGAGTATTCTAAAGTTGTCATTGTCTTTATCAATACAGTCATAGGAAAGTGGGAGGGAGCTGACTATGAGGGAGCCATTTAGTTAACCTAAAGCAACAACATAGAAGGCATAAAGCAAATTCTCCTCTCCATGTTCTACCATTAGATGTGCAAAGTGAGTTCTCTGCCAGCCACTGGAAAGATTTAAGTAGAGTCTGGGTGACAACTTGTGTGTATAAATTATATAAATGTGGACATGAATGCATACGTGTACACATATATTGCTTGTATCTCTTTGGTGGGTCGGAATGATTGTTAGGAAAGGAAGAGTTGGACCAGATGACCTCAAGGGACCTGCATTTTGACTCTAATTAATTAGGTATTTGGGGATTTTCAATTTTTTCTTTATTTTACTGTTCAGAATAAAATTATTTTCTGGGCTTGGTTTAGTTTGGGACTGTGCAAACTACTATGAGTTATTCCAACTATTTATAATCTGATTTAAAGCCTGGGTTCTAAATAGCAGCCAACTCCCTGAAGGCCAAGTAAGAAAAGAAAATAGATCAAAGATCTATTTCAAGCTCCATTCTAATTTCTGCTATCTGTGGATATTTTTCTCATGTTGCAGGTCATACTACATGTAACTAGTATACTTTTCAGTTTCTCCAGTTTTCTTACGAATCTATTATAAAGAGATAAGCTATATCAAATTTCTTGAATCACTGTCATCATTCTAGTTTTAAAAATTACTGTATCTTGTAAACCAATGCAGCATACTAAATTTTATGTTTTTTTTAAATCACCCCCAATATCTGAACAATAAGGATATGAAAAAACTGCCTTTTTAAACTTAATTATAACTTCTTTGTAATAATAAGGAGATATTTAAAGTCCCTATGCAAAATCATACCACATCTGGAATTTCACATTCTTGGTACTGGGATAATACATTAGGCAGTGTTTGTTTAACAGTTAGCAACAGTGCTTTAATGGCTGGGGTCCTATTGCAGAGGAAACATAGAAAAGGACAAAGGGAGTGAAAGAAAGACATAACATAAACCCATACACTGTATCTAATCAGAATGAATTACTGTTTCTACTCCAATGTAATAGGACCCTATCTTAAATGGCTTTTGAATGGCAAGCTTATAGTCTGAGCAGTCCAGTATTATTCAGAAGCAGAGCTCAGAATGGATTGCAAAACACACCATCTACCATCTTATTGTTACAGAAAAACACAGAATCTATATATATGTATATATATGGTTTATATATATACATATATATGTATATATGTAAGAGCAGAAGACTGATTTGCTAATTCTAACATCAGGACAATTGATTTACGTACCGAGGAAGGGGATGGTAGAGGTCATAAGGCATGATCTGCTTGTATCCGTCACTGTTAGGAACAATAATGCCAACCCTCTGAGTAGAAGGTACACACAATAAAATAAACACTAAATGATTACATTACACAATTCTTTATACAATTGCAAAATGACATTAATAAATTATCTCTGAAAAACAACACTAAAACAGTTCAACATCTATATACTAGCATAAGCTTTAGGATGGGGCAAGTTCTTTGGAAAAGGCACCGTTTACAGTCCTCTGATTCAAGCAGGAAATACTGCTGAAAAGGGTGGTGGCAAGAAAACTTGGCACTTCATCATTAACTATGACACAACAAGTTCGCAAATGTTTCTTAATCCACCAAATCATACATCCTATGAGGTCATTATCATCATCATTAATGCTACTTCCAGATGCCCACCAAGAAATTAATAAGTTACTGTCTTATTTCTGATGAAACAGAGAGCTATTTAGTCACTAGAGCGTGTACTTCAGAATGACAATACTATGTAACGTGCATTAGCAAACTGGTTTCTTCCCTTGGCAGACCTAAAGATTTTAGGAATACCAGGAAAACTACCTCTTGGGTGTTTTGTAAAAGGAGGGGCGACTACTAAACCTATCAGACCACTATTAAGAGACAGAAGTTAGCAAACTAAAATGGAGAACACATGAAAGGGGCTTTTGTGGTCTCTATAGTGCTAACTTCCAGTATGGTGGTAGTTGTGATTGGGGTGGAAAAGTCAGGAGGTTTAGAGACAGAGCAGAGGCTACAGGGCCCTCAGGACATGGCGTTAGAGGCTCAGTGAAGTTCCCAGAGGCCTTTACTAAAACAATAACCTGTGTCATGATGTCAACGAAAGCCTCCCACAGGTAAGACTGGGTCCTTGTTGAGGCGTCATTCCCTGCTTCCTTGGGTCCCTGGTTCCTTGATTACAGAGGATTTATGACTCATGGATTTGGAGAAGAGGGCTACTGCCACTCCATCATCAAGAGTGGGTGACAGAGCTCAGTGTGCTAGGGCATAAGCAGAAGATGCCAATTTTCCACTGACAAATGATAGGAAGCTTCTCTTTAGAATACTGGACCTTTGTATTCTATCCATATCCCTGTGATGGATGGATATGAGTCAATATTTATGCATTTAAATATTTAATATAAACTTGTTTATATTTAATAAATAAATAATTAAAGTATGTTTTTAAAAGATTTTATTTATTTATTTGAAAGGCAGAGTTACAGAGAGGCAGAGAGAGAGAGAGAGAGATAGAAAAGGCTTCTATCTGCTGATTCACTTTCCAAATAGTTGCAATGGCTGGAGCTGGGCCAATCTGGAGCCAGGAGCCTCCTCTGGGTCTACCATGCATGTGCAGGGGCTAAAGACTTGGGCCATCTTCTACTGCTTTCCTAGGCCATAGCAGAGAGCTGGATTGGAAGTAGAGCAGCCAGGACTCGAACTGGCACCCATATGGGATGCCAGCGCTGCAGCCGGTGGCTTTACCCACTATGCCACAGAGCCAGCCCCACAGTATGTTCCTTTTATGTGGCTAGCAAACCTAAGAATTTGGGTAGAAAGATGAGCTGGGTCTACTGTGATTCAGGAAGAGGAAAATGGTACTGATGAGATTATGGGAGACAAAGAGGAAAGCAGGAGGGACAGAGGGATCTGTGAAGTTCTAGAAATTACTTAAAGAGAAAAGGATACACAGGAGAGATTAAACTTGCTTGAAAGAAATGGGAAACAAAATTATGTAAATACTATTTCCAGGAAGGAAAGTCATCAGGGTTCTAATTTGTCTATTTATTTTACATGACTAAGTTGTCTGTATTTATTTGTATGACTACATTTTTCACCCAATTGTATGATGAAATTTTCATGGGGTGTGTGTGTGTGTGTGTGTGTGTGTGTATTACTCTTCAGTAACGATGTTCATGAAACTGGATGCTGCCTTTTGGGATGCTCAAAATCCCATAGATCTTTAATACAAGAATGTATGAATATTACATTAAACTTTTCTTGCTGTTTTTTCAGTTAAACTTTTTTGTTTTCCTACCTTCTCCTACAGAAAAGAAATTGGATGAAAGCCTAATCCTGCCTTTTGTTAAATCATGTGATCTTGTTCCAATAATTCTTACATCTAGTAATTAAGGAACTTTTCTTTTTAAAAGGACTATTTTGTAAAGACTGCCAACTTTCCAAAGCTCTGCTAATAATGTTGGACATACACTGTTCTCTAATAGCAGTCAATTAAGAAATAAATCAAATTGACTTTGAAGTTGTACCTTACTTGGCCTAATATTTTTATTCATGCCTACATCAATTTCTAAATGCAGAAATACATATCATTGCCTCTCCCCTTAAAAATTTATGGTTATAATTTGTCATCTTCAATATTAGAATGAACTGTTGCAGATCTCTGTCAATTGATTTATCTGCTGATGATTTTTAAAACTGAGACAGTAACTCTGATGGAGACGTGAACCTGAAGAATGCATAGGATTCAAGTTGCTGGGCTTTGCTTTGGATTGATGTAGACGTTCTGTTTTTGTTTTAACAAAACCTTTAAGCCTGAATTAGGCAAAACTATACCTATATTTGTCTTTCTATGGCACGGGTTGTGGTGAAGACTCATAAAATGGTTCTATGGCACCTGTGAAAACAAAAACATATCAAAACAGTAGTGCTCTGTCCAGTCCTGTTAGTACATATCCGCGTGCATGGGCTCTGCTCTCTCTTGGGGCTCACGCCATGGCGCTGGCCTTTCACTACACTGTCACAGAGGGGAAGCCGATCTTGCCCAAACTGAACTTCCTATTTCTTGTTTTAAAAACACCTTTTTTTTTTCCTTAGGCAAAGTATACATAATGAAAAAGATGATGTAGAAGAATGCAATTAGGTCTTGAAGAAAGTCTCCCCATGTTTATGTCTGGCTCTGGGTGTGTATGGACTCTGACATGGATCTGAATACGTGTGCAATAGTCAAGGAGAGAAAAAGGATTTTAAAAAGTGATTGCACAGGGGATCACACAGGGTTGGGGCCAGCATTGTGGTGTAGCAAGTTAAGCTGCCTCCTGCAATGCCAGCATCCCACATGGGCACCAGTTTGAGTCCTAGCTGCTCTACCTCCTCCTATCCAGCTTCCTGCTGATGACCTGGGAAAGCAGCGGAAGATGGCCCAAGTCCTTGGGTCCCTGCATCCACATGGGAGACCTGCATGAAGCTCCTGGCTCCTGGCTTTGGCCTGACCCAGGCCCTGATGATACAGCCATTTGAGGAGTGAATGAGCAGATGAAAGATATCTTTCTTCTGTCTCTCTCCCACCTCTAACTCTGCCTTTTGGCTTTGGTGTAAAACTACTCAATCCTCAATCTCCACTGTCTTACTGATCCTGACCACTTACCTATTTCTTATGGTGGGCAGAGCCACGACTCCACCTAAAACTACCACCTTCAGAGGTTGTGGTGGTAAGAACCATAGGTAAGGAGGAGGAGATAATAATTCTGGAGTAATGAGGTGAGAGACATTCTATTTCCTACTTTCAAACTACATGCCTTAATGAATTGTCTGATGACAAAAGAATGTTTCATGCTATAGCAGGTTCATATAACGAAATACTATGTAGCATATAAACAGAAAGCTTTTTGAATCATTTTAATGACACAGAAAAATGCTCAATCATAATGTTAACTAAAAATTTAATACAAAATAGCAGGTACAATATAATCTTTGATATTAAGAAAATTTACGTGTTTGCATAGCTATGCATTTCCATGAAGTTTGTTTATATGTTTGCATGTACATGTGTGTATACATGTATGCATAAAAATACATATGCATCTATATGGATACACACATATCTTAGAAGAATACCTAACAACAAATGGTTTGTTCCTGGTGTTTGCATTATGGATATTTTTGGTTCCCTTTTTTATTTTCCAATTTCCCAAGTATTTTTTATAATGTATTACTTTTTATAATCACAGTCATTAGAATATTCAGATATGACAAAATTCAAGAAAGTATAAGACAGAAATATTTGGACCTACAACTACAATTTATGAAATGAGGCTATTTTCTGAAATCCCATGTGTCACTTAAAGATTACCGAGTCTATACAGACATGATCTAAGATGCTACTTTACAGAGACTTTAGAAATCAAGCCAACATGAGGTTTAGCAGTGGAATTTACAAATTGTGATAAATCTCTCTTCCACAGAAAAATCCTAATGTAAGTGACTGCATGAACACCTAACTGAGGGATTCCTTTTGTAGTGGAAATGAACCTAGGAGACCCTTCCCTGGTTTCAGTGGTCCGTCTCAGGGCATCCTGACCTGTTGCCTCTTCTGAGCTGCAGAGACACATTTCTGACTTCCTTACAACTGGATGTGCTCCAGGCTTTTCAAGCTCAGTTTGTCCCAGACAATTCAATATCTTCCCCTGCCATGGTCACTGTCACGATTTAGGGCACTGCAATTCTCCCATCTACGCTCCATGCTGTGGGGCATTTTTGCTTCTTTCACTCATGTTCCCTACAGGCACTCAATTATTCCAGTTGGCACCTCAACACCAGTAGCATTTGCCAACATGGCCCTTCCTGACCCGAGTTTGGGTCCTTTGCAGCAGCTTCCTAACATCTCTCTTTGCTTCCAAGTATTGACTTCTCAGTCAACCTACTCGCTGCTGTCACAGCAACTGAAATTTTATTTTCAACCCAAAAGTCCTAAGTAGGGGAGCACATTTTTACTAGAAGTTAAGACACTGGTTAAGTTAAGACACTTCACATCAGAATGCTTGAGTTCAACTCCTGGCTCTGGCTTCTGATTCAAGCTTCCTGTTAGAGCAGACCCTTTGGAGGCAGTGTTGATGGCTCAAGCAATTGGTTCCTGCCACCATGTAGGAGATCTGGATTGTGTTCGTGGATCCCAGCTCTGGTATTGGCCCAGCCTCAGCTGGTGTAGGTATTTGAGGGAATGAACACACAGATAGGAGGTCTCTCTTTCTTACTCTCAAAAAAATAGAATAAAATACTAAGTGACTTCATAA